AGGCTAGACTCTTTCTTTTCAACAGACCGGAGCTCACTTTCTCAAAACACCAAGACTGATTTCTTTTTCTTTCATTCCCCTAGCTATTTTCACTCTCTCTTTTCCACTCATCTCACCTTTTTCCACTCACCAAAAGGTCTTTTCCCCCACACTTATTCCTCGCCAAAACTCTCAGTTCCTTGATGTTGGAACACATCACTCAATGAGACCTGCCCTTGTCGCTCTAAACCTAACACTTTCTGCTAAGTTTGATCCAAGGTGGCCTTTCAATTCACACACAAACATTGGCTTAAAAGAAGGATGGGTTCAAGGTATGGGAACTGATCCATGATTGGGATTCAGCTACTTGAGCTAAGGAAAAGAGTGGTAAAAACAATGGTTCTAGCTCAAGTATGTATATTGGTATCCACAAGCTTTTTCAAACAATGCATCACAAGATATTTTCAAGTCAAGTTCAAGGTTCCCACTTAATTAGAGTTGAGTTCAATTCAAACTTGCTTCTCAGATTCAAATCATTTTAGACTTTGCAAGCACAGAAAAAGATTCACAAGCATATTCAATTCAAGTTCTCAAAGTGATGTACTCTCTAGAAAACCTATCATTACTCCTTGCAAGATGCAACCTACATGCAAATGCAATCTAGACTCAATCCTAAAAATGAGAATGCAACTACATGATCATTTTTTTTGTGTAAAATTTTCAGATTTTTCCATTTTTTTGGTTTTTATATGCACTTAGATGAATATGCAACTAGAATGTGACTCAAGACTCAAAGTGTAAAATAAGAAAATAGAAAACATGATTAGTAAAGGATGAAACTCCTCCCCCACACTTAAATAACACAGTCCCTTGTGTTATAAAAGCATGAGAAAGGAGTTTAAAACAAAGTAAACAAGTGAAATGCAAAAGAAAAAGAAAATCTACATGCTATTTACAAGGTTTGAGTGGTACCTAGTGGCTGTTGAAATCAGACCCCAATGAGTAGGAGGGGTTCGATGTGTGGCCTGACGGTGTTTCCCAAGAATGGTGGCTGGCCTCATCAGTCCCGTCGTCAAGATCTACCCAAGTGGTTCCATATGTGACCAAGGCTGTGCAGTTCATGGAACTCTCCCCAACTTCCTCTCTGTTCCTTGGTGAAACCGATGCTGGAGCCCCACCTTTGCAAGGGTTTTCAAGCTTCTTGATCCTCTTCTTCATCTCCTTGATGCATTTGGCCATCTTGTGGATGGTTTTGTCTTGGTACTTGCACCATTGTTGGAGAATACCAATCTTCTGTTGAGCTCTGAACCCTGAAGTGCCTGGTTCCTCCCAGTTGTAATCATCAAAGTGATATCTGTTTCCACCAAAACGTTTTTGAGGTGGAGGCAGATCAGCATCTTGAGCACCAGCTGCACTTGTGGTAGCATCTTCAGCGGTTGCTTTCTTTCCCTTGAAGGCTTCTTCTCTGCAAGCTTGCTTGTATGTGAGGATTGGTGGATCAGTTTGGACATTGTACAGCTCTTCCTTCAGCAAGAAGAAGTGAATGTTCCTTTTAACTTGGACTGTGGTGATGGAGGGATTGGGTAGGAGAACTTGGGCTGGCTCACTGATGAGTGTCTTGAAGTTGTAGACTACCTTGGTACCCACTCTTCCTTGGAGAAAGCCAATCCTACACAAATGTGCTTCATTAATCAGATCAAACTTTGCCTTGTTCTCCTTGAATCTATACCCCATGGCTTTCAAGATCTTTGTTACCACCCATCCATGGGTCAGCTTTGCATCTTTGTTTGTAGAACCCCACATGCACTTTTTGTAGAACATCAAAGACCTTGCTAATTGAGATGCAAGGCAAAGTGGGTATTCATACCCTTCATAGGGTTCCCCATCTTCATGTGTTGGCATCAGCGGTCTCAGCCCTACACCAAGAAGCATCAGATCTCCTTTGTGAACTCTTCCAACATCAATCTTGAAGTAGAAACTGTGAGAGAGAATCTTGTGTACATATCTCAGGACTGGATTCCTTATCCAAGAGGCCTTAGCTGTTCCAGCTGTATACTTCCCAGAAGCAATTGATCTCCATAGAAGTTGGATCTCATCTTTTCTGAGATTGACCTGGTTGGAGAGAAGTTCATTTCTAGGTGCTGAAAACCCAAAGATCTTATTCAATTCTCTGAATGACACTGAATACTCCTTCCCTTGCACAGTAAACTCCACATGTCCAAGCCCATCTCCTTGAATGATTCTTGAATCCCTTGGGTAGTAAATGAAAGCTTCAAAGGAGGCCAAGAACTCTTGGGACTCTTGCTCATAAGCGATTTCTCTCATCTCCAAAAGTGACTCAACACCCATGTTCCCAAGCAAAGTCTTGATATCTTCATAGAGGCCAATCTTCTTCAGAAAGTCCAAATCAGGGAATCTCCCTTGCTGGATCTCTATCTGCTGAAACTTAGCCAGATAATCAAGTGTTTCTGGTTCAGTTTTCTTGAACTTCTTTGATCCCTCTTCAATGGTGCCTTGGGAACCGCCAGCTGAGCTGCTGGAGTCACTTTCAGTCTGTTCACTCTCAGATACCACAGCCAACTGTTTCCCCTTTTTCTTGGAACCAGAAGGAACCACCAAAGCTCTTCCTTCAGGCCTTGTCCTTTTTGGCGCTGGATCACACTTTCCGTGCTTTGTGGTATTCTTTGCACCTTGACCTTTGTCTCTTGGCTTTGAAGTTCCTGAGACCAAACCTTTGCCTTTGGATGCAGGGCCCTTCTTCTTGGCCAAAGAGTACAAGGATAAGCCTCACAAAAGTCTTCAAAATTTTGAAAAAAAATTGTTGCAAGAATCGGTATCAACAGCACATGAACAAGGTTCTCAAGCCAAGAATCAATCAAATAAGTTCATAGCAATGCAAAAACAAGAGTGCAAAGCAGAGACTCAGCAAGAAACCAATTCATTTCTTAAAAAAAATCGATTTCTTTCATGAATTACTTGCAACAATTTTCAAAATTCAAGAACAAGTAATTACCAACAAAGTGCTCTGTTTTCCAAGACTATCTAGCACCCTAGCATTTATAAAAATAATCCCAAGGTCTAAAACAACCTATCAAAATCGATTCCACACCTTAAAGTTCCAAAAATCACCATTGAAGAACATGGAAAGAGATGAGTTTTAACAGGATGAAATACCTTGGGATTAAGATGCAACGAGTTCGAAATGCAATCAGGATGATGTTAACAACTCAAAAACGAGCTCAGAGCACTTTGAATCAACAATTTTGGTGGAGAAATGAGAGAGATATGGTGAAAACAATGGAGAGAAATGAGAGAGAGAGTTGCAAACTCGGGTTTGTTGTGAGGAAGAGAGAGTGTGGGGTAGGGTCAAGCCTTTGGACTGGTGGTCAATAGATCTATTTTGACCAGTCAAGGCTTTGACCCGTCCTTTTCTCATTGACCGGCCTCCTTTCTCTCTTTTGTGCGTCCCGGAACCGTCGGGATTGAGCCGTGTGACCGTCTCGGTGTAGAACTGGAAATATTTTTGTGCTACCTGGTAATCCTCTGTCTAACCCGCACAACCATCCCGCAGCCTTTGTTACTTAGGCATTCTGGCCGTTCCTCTTTTTGCTGCGGCTTGGTCTTCATATTTCCAGGTAGCACAACCATCCCGGAGTAAATTGAGAGTGCATGTGCGACTTGGTTTCCTATGTTCCCAGGTAGCACAACCATCCCGCAGCTTTTTGGACTTAAACAAAACGGCTTTTCTTTTCCTGCTGCGACCTGGTGTTCATGTTCCCAGCTAGCACGCCCATCTAGGAGTAAATTCCGAGTATATGTGCGGGTTGGTCTCCTTTACTCCCAGGTAGCACGACCATGTCGCAGGGTTTGTTACTTAGAAAACTAGGCCATCTCTCTTCTGCTGCGGCTTGGAACTCTTGCCTCCCAGGTAGCACACCTAAACCGCAGGGTTTTGTCACTTAAGCTCCTTAGCCGTTCTCTTCATGCTGCGACCTGGCCTCCGTGTTTCTAGGCCGCACACTTAACCCGGAGTAAATTGCGAATGGGTGTGCGGCCTAGCTTCCTTTCTTTTAACCCGCAGCACCAGCCAGCACAGTTTCGGACTTAGGCGTTTTGGACTCCTCCTGTTTAGTGCGGCCTGACCTTCTTCTTTCCAGGTAGCACGACCATCTCGGAGTGAATTGCGAATGATCGTGCGACTTAGCCTCCTTGGGTTTCAGGCCGCAGCACCAGGTCGCACAGTTTAGCACTTAGAACTCTCGGCCTTCTTCTTTCTGGTGCGGCTCAGCTTCCATGCTTCTAGGTCGCACACTCAAGCCGGAGTAAATTCCGAATATATGTGCGGCCTAGCTCCCTCTCTTCTGACCCGCACTCCCAAGCCGCAGTAACTGGGACTTAAACATTTCGGGCTTCTCAAGGTTTTGTGCGGCCAGGGTTCTTTCACACCAGGTAGCACAACCAGGCCGGAGTAAATCGCGAGTCTTGCTGCGGCCTGGGCTCTTCATGCACTAACCCGCACACCTAGGTAGCACTGAGGCGTTCTTCAAGTTTTTCTGGCTTTAAACAGTCCTCTCAGCTCTCTCACATGCTCCATTCCATTCATCACAAGCTATGTCCTCCAAGGATCACCTAGTACCTGAGACCAACTCAAAAAACCCATCAAAAAGTTCTAAAACATAAAGGAAAAGAGAAGAAATCAAAAGAACTATGTACAAAGATAAGCTTGGGGTGTCTCCCAAGAGCACTTTGTTTAAAGTCTCTAAGTTTGACTTTGAGAACCTGTTTAACAGGCTGGTGGATCAAGAAGAGGAACTGTTGTAGCTTCCTCTTTCCCTTGTGAAACTAAATAATGCTTGATTCTCTGTCCATTCACCACAAATTCCTGGCCATTCTTTCCTTCCAAGACAATGGCACCATAAGGCCTCACTTCAAGAACTTTGAAAGGTCCAGACCACCTAGACTTAAGCTTTCCTGGAAACAACTTAAGTCTGGAGTTGAAAAGCAAGACCAAATCACCATACTTGAACTCTCTCTTCAGAATCTTTTGATCATGCAGGACCTTGGTCTTCTCCTTATAGATCTTTGAGCTTTCAAAAGCTTCAAGCCTGATCTCCTCAAGTTCATGAAGTTGCATGATCCTTTTCTCTTGAGCTGTCTTGATATCAAAGTTTAGAAACTTCACAGCCCACATAGCTTTGTACTCCAACTCAACAGGAAGGTGGCAGCTCTTCCCATATAGAAAACTGAATGGTGATGTTCCAATTGGAGTTTTAAAGGCAGTCCTGTAAGCCCATAATGCATCATCTAGCCTTTTGCTCCAATCTTTTCTGCTTGAGCTAACAGTACTCTCAAGAATGGCCTTGATCTGTCTATTGGATACTTCAACCTGGCCACTAGTTTGAGGATGATATGGAGTAGCTATCTTGTGTTTAACTCCATGCTTTCTCAATAAACCTTCCAGAGTCTTGTTCAAAAAATGGGATCCTCCATCAGAGATGACAACCCTTGGAACTCCAAACCTTGGGAAGATGATGCTCTTGAACAGCTTCACTACAACCTTGGAATCATTGGTAGGGGAAGCAATTGCCTCAACCCATTTGGACACATAGTCCACAGCAACAAGGATGTACTGATTTCCATAGGATGAAATGAAAGGTCCCATAAAGTCAATCCCCCAGCAATCAAAGATCTCAACTTCTAGAATGGGGTTTTGAGGCATCTCACTTCTCTTAGATATGTTCCCATGCCTCTGACAAGCATCACATGCTGAAACCACCAACTGGGCATCTTTGAACATTGTAGACCACCAAAACCCACTTTGAAGAACCTTTGCCACAGTTTTGAATGCCCCCATGTGACCTCCAAAAGCGGAACCATGACATTCTTGCAACACAGGTTGCATCTCCTCTTCAGCAAGGCACCTTCTATATAGCTGATCCTTGTTCAGAACATAGAGGTAGGGCTCATCCCAATAGTATCTCTGGACATCTCTGAAGAACTTTTTCCTCTTGTAAGCATCTAATTCAGGAGGCTCCACCCCACATGCAAGATAGTTCACTATGTCTGCAAACCAAGGCATCCTCCTTTCTTGAATGCTCTCTACTTCCTCAAACTCCAAGTAGGAATGGAGCACCATCAGAGACTCTTCAGGCAAAGCATCATCTATGGGGACTTTTTCTTCAATCATCAGCCTTGAGAGATGGTCTGCAGCCCCATTCTCAATCCCCTTTTTATCAAGCACCTCCATATCAAACTCCTGGAGCAATAAAACCCATCTCAACAGCCTTGTATTGGCATCTTTCTTTGTCATCAAGTACCTGAGGGCTGCATGATCAGTATACACAATGACCTTTGATCCCACCAGGTAGCTTCTGAACTTATCAAAGGCAAAAACTATTGCCAGCATTTCCTTTTCAGTTGTAGCATACTTTTCTTGGGCAGAGTCAAGTGTTCTACTGGCATAGTAGATCACATGCAGCTTCTTGTCCCTCTTCTGTCCAAGTACTGCTCCAACAGCAAAGTCAGAAGCATCTGTCATGACCTCAAAAGGTAGGGACCAGTCTGGTGCCTGAACTATTGGTGCACTAACCAATGCCTCTTTGATCAACTTAAAGGCTTCTTCACATTCAGCATCAAAGATGAAGTCCACCTCCTTACACAACAGTCTTGTTAAGGGCCTGGCAATCCTTGAGAAGTCCTTTATGAATCTTCTATAAAACCCTGCATGACCAAGGAAGCTCCTTATCCCTTTAACTGAAGTGGGGGTTTGCAGATTCACCATCACTTCCACCTTTGCCTTATCAACCTCAATACCCTTTTCAGAGATCTTGTGCCCAAGAACTATTCCTTCTTGCACCATGAAATGACACTTCTCCCAGTTCAGCACCAAGTTGTGCTGCTCACATCTCTCCAACACCTGTGTCAAATTAGAGAGACAATCCGAGAAGGAGGAGCCATAGACACTAAAGTCATCCATGAACACCTCAACTTTCTCTTCAATAATGTCAGAGAAAATGTGCATCATACATCTTTGAAAAGTGGCCGGTGCATTACATAAACCGAAGGGCATTCTCCTATAAGCATAAGTGCCATAAGGGCATGTGAATGTTGTTTTCTCTTGATCCCGGGGGTCTATGGGAATTTGGAAGAACCCCGAGTACCCATCGAGAAAACAAAAATAAGGATGATTAGCTAACCTTTCAAGCATTTGATCAATGAATGGTAAAGGGAAATGATCTTTTCTAGAAGCAGAATTCAATTTCCTATAGTCAATGCACATGCGATGGCCAGTTATGGTTCTTTGAGCTATGAGTTCATCCTTATCGTTTTTCACCACTGTGATCCCACCTTTCTTGGGCACCACATGAACAGGAGACACCCATCTTGAGTCAGAGATTGGGTAAATTATCCCTGCCTCAAGAAGCTTTAGTATCTCCTTCTTAACCACTTCCCTAAGGTTGGGGTTAAGTCTACGTTGGTGCTCAATAGAGGACATGGCTTGGTCCTCCAGGTGGATCCTGTGGGTGCATATATCAGGAGAGATTCCTCTAATGTCTGCCAAGGAATACCCTATGGCTCTCCTGAATTTCCTTATTTCACTAAGTAATGCACGTTCCTCATGCTCCAGCAAGTTATCATTTATGATCACGGGAAAAGTAGAGTTCAGGCCTAAGAACGCATACCTGAGCCCTGTTGGTAGAGGCTTGAGCTCAACAGAGGGTGCATCAGCCTCATTCCAGTCCTGGTCCAGGTTGCTTTGGCTGGTGACTGATTCCTTGATAGCAAAGACTTCAGAGCCTCTTTGTTCCAGCTCCAAAAACCTTGTTTCAGGACCCAGCTCTCTTGCATTGTCCAGATACAGCTTATACCCTTCACTTGCTTCAGCCAAGAGCTCATTCTCTCCTTGTTCTTGAGTTAGAGCAGCTTGAAGAGGATCCTCAGTGTTCAGTTCCTCAAGCAACTCATCAGCCAACTGGTCCATTGTCTCCACATAGAAACATTGACCTTCAATGGTGGGTTTCTTCATCATCTCATTCACATCAAACTTGAGCCTTTCAGACCCAAGTTGAAGCTCTATTATCCCACCTCTCACATCAATAATAGCTCCTGCAGTGGCTAAGAATGGCCTGCCCAAGATGAGAGGATCTACTGGTTCCTCATCCATTTCCAGCACAACAAAATCTGTTGGAACCTCAAAACCACCTATCTTGACAGGTAGATCTTCCAACATACCAACAGGCAATCTAACTGATCTATCTGCAAGGATAAGAGAAATCCTTGAAGGTTTGAAAACTCTAAAGCCCAGCTTCTTTGCTATGGAGAATGGCATCAAGCTGACTGATGCTCCTAAATCACAAAGACATCCAGAGAATAGAAGTGGTCCAATGGCACAAGGGAGTGTGAAGCTCCCTGGATCAGTTAACTTCCTTGGAATGGACTTCTTCTGAATGATAGCACTGCATTCATGACTTAGTACTACCATGCCTTGAAGCTCTTTTGTCTTGTTCAGAATTGCATCCTTCAAGAACTTCCCCATCTTTGGCATCATTAAGAATGCATCAATGAGAGGCATTGTGAGTGGTGTCTCTTTGAGTGCCTTCTCAAATACAGCTCTTGCCTTGTTCACTAGTTGCTTCTTAAATCTCCCTAGAAATGGGAGCTTGGGTTGGTATGGAGGTGGTGGCACATACTTCTTCTCTTGTTCTGGTTCCTTTGCTACCTCTTTACCCTTTTCTGTCCTTGGTTTCTCAGCAACTTGATCATCCTTTAAGGCTGCCTCCCCCTCAGGTTGATCATTGTCCTCAATGATCACTTTGTTGTTCTCAATACCATGTAACTCCTTGCCACTCCTCAGTGTAATGGCTTTGGCATATTCCTTGGGGTTGGGTTCTGGTTTTCCAGGTAGGTGACCTTGGTTCCTTGAGCTTGATGCCTGGTTTTGCTTCAGTTCCTTGATTTCCTGCTGCATAGTCTGTTGACCCTGAAGTAGTTGTTGCAGAATACCAACCATATATGTACCCATCTGTGGCTGCTGTTGAACCATTGGTGGCTGAAACTGTTGTTGAACCGGCGCCTGCTGTTGGAACTAAGGTGGACCAAACCCTGGTGGTGCCTTTGGCTGCTGTGAATTATAACTAGTGCCCTGAAATGGTTGATGTTGCTGACCAAAACTCTGATTCTGACCAAATTGATTCTTGGGTTGGAATGACCCTTGAAAGTTGTTCTTGGGAACAAAGTTCTTTGGAGCTTGAGAATTGGGATAGACCTGGTCTTGTGGGTTAGCTACATTGGTGTTCCTGTAAGAGAGGTTTGGATTGGCATTACCATACTGATATCTTTGGAACCTCTGATTCCCAATGTAGTTGAGCTCCTCTTGGGTAAGACCTTCTTCACTTATGTTCTCAAAAATTTGAGAAGGTTCTTCATACTCTCCAACAAAATGCATTGGCTTCTGAGTGGTGAATTTCAGCTTGTCCAATTCACTCCTCAACTCCTTAACTTCTCTGGTGAGCCTCTGTTCTGAGCTTGAACCTTCAGACCTATTTGATCTGTCATAGTCTTCACCATAAGTATCATTGCTCAATGCTAAGTTCTCCACTAGCTCTAAAGCAGCATGTATCTCTTTACCCAGAAAGTTCCCATTGGAAGCAGTATCCAGCTGGTTTCTAATCTTGGGAAGAGCTCCCCTATACAGTGTGCTGAGAAGAGAAGCCTCACTAAACCCATGGTGTGGGCATTGGTTTGTGTAGCTCCTGAATCTCTCATATGCTTCACCAAAACTTTCATTGCTTTGCTGAGTGAAGCTAGAGATTTGGTTCCTCAGTTTTGCAGTTCTTGAGGTGGAGAAGAACTTAGATAAGAAGGCTTGCTTGCATTGCTCCCAGGTTTGAATGGAGCCTCTTGGAAGATTCTTCTCCCATTGATGAGCTTTATCACCAAGACTGAATGGGAATAGTCTTAGCTTGAAGCTGTCTTCTGAAACTCCATTTATCTTGGTCAGATCACACACCTTATCAAACTGGTGCAAGTGTTCCAAGGGATCTTCCATTGCTAACCCATGGAACTTTGAGTTATGGACCATATTCAGCAAAGATGCTTTCACTTCAAAGTTGTTGTTTTGCACAGGTGGTGCCTGAATACCAGCTCCATACTGATGAGCATTGGCCCTGTCATTCTCTCCAACATAGACTTGGGGTTGCTCATATCTCCTTTGCTGTGGTTGGAAAGGGTGGGGTTGGTGGTGCACCTGGTGTCTTTGCTGAACATTGGCCTGATGCCTCTGTTGATGAGCTTGAGCTTGTCCCTGGTGGACATAAGCTTGTTGATGGTGCACCTGTTCCTGCTGAACATTACCCTGGTGAAGCCTTTGACCGACTCCAATACCAGCTCCATGACCTTGAGCCTGTTGCTCCTGAACTGGTTGTTCTATATCTACCACGTGATCTTCTTGTTCTGCCATCTCAGTCTGATCAATTTGTCTACCACGTCTGTCTCTTCTCCTCCTTGGTACCAAAAGGTTGATGTTGTCGTTTAGAGGAAAAGGAGGACCACAGCTTCTTGATCTAGACCTGGTGTTCATACACCTGAAATCACAAACAGAACTTGAAAGGAATCAATAAAAACAAGAAAGTAAGCACTTGATTTCAAGAACAGACCAGAGCTTAATCCTCTCATGAAGGTATTAACCCCTATACTAATCCATTTTCAAACCAAATTCCCATTTGTGAAACATGAATCAATATCCATTAACAAACAGCTCTTAATGATCATTCAAGCAAATAACAATACATCATCATGCAGAAAAATGCTTAAACCTCTAATACAGCTCTTCACAATTTGTCTACCACGTCTGTCTCTTCTCCTCCTTGGTACCAAAAGGTTGATGTTGTCGTTTAGAGGAAAAGGAGGACCACAGCTTCTTGATCTAGACCTGGTGTTCATACACCTGAAATCACAAACAGAACTTGAAAGGAATCAATAAAAACAAGAAAGTAAGCACTTGATTTCAAGAACAGACCAGAGCTTAATCCTCTCATGAAGGTATTAACCCCTATACTAATCCATTTTCAAACCAAATTCCCATTTGTGAAACATGAATCAATATCCATTAACAAACAGCTCTTAATGATCATTCAAGCAAATAACAATACATCATCATGCAGAAAAATGCTTAAACCTCTAATACAGCTCTTTCAGGAATTTCATCAAACACTTTTGATGCATGAAATTCCCAGAATCTAGATCGCAAGTGATTATCAAGGATCTAGCATAGAGAACAGCTGTTTAGAGAGATGAATCAAT